TAATTAATTAACTGTACATCCTTTTTTAACTAAATATAACAGCTTACTCTTGGGTTTTAGTTTCAGAGCTCCTTTGCTTCAACAGATTATCAGTCCCATGATACCATGACAGGTTCCATGCTATTCTCAGCATATCTGACACAGGCTTCAAGGCCAAACAATCAGCAGATAAGGGCAAAACTATGGAGTAAGGACTCACAGCATGATGTCTGATTACATGTACTGGTAGATGATACCTAAAGAAAATATATACAAATAATTACAAACTTTCAAATTCTCAAACACCACTCAAAAAGATGAGCCACTAATGAGGGCTAGTTCTATGCCTCTCACCCAAAAATAATGCAAAGATCTCTCTCACAGCCCCAATTTTAAAGTTATCTTACTTTATATAGCATTTCAATTATTCATTCACCCTCCTCTAAAAGCCCCCGGAATACTTTATTAAACTCTTTTCTGAGGACTTAACCACAGTCTAGGTTATATTAGAGTCACTGCAGAGATAACTAATGCTCATTGAAGTCAGGGCCCATGAATACAGTGAACCAAACATAAAAGGTGTTCAGCTAAAACATGAATGTCTACTTTATGTCAAGCACTGCTTATTATCTATCATTCATTCACAGTTACATGGCCTGGCATTATGATACCTATTTTACAGATGATCAAAATGAGGATTAAAGAGTCTAAATGAATCGCCTATAATCACAGAGGTCACTAAGTGACTAAATTCCAACTTATTACTTTCACTTGAGAAAAATTTCATCGTCCATAAACTCAAAAAGAGAACCAAGAAATATGTTTAGAAATAAAAACAGATTCAATAGCAATCTCTCTTAAGCCAGTTAAAGTTAATTTAACACTGTCTAGCAGGAGAGCAATGCCCAGCACATGCTAACGTTAAAGAATAATTTTACTAATAAAACATTCCCCAAACTCCTAATTCATGTATTTGTGACTGATGTAAATAAAATTGGGTAAGATTTCTAAGAGATACTTAAGTGTGTTTTCTCATTTCATGTA